AAAAAATTGTGCTTGAAATAGTGCCCAATATCAGTCCAATTTTTGCTTGACTTTTGACTTAGAAAACCATTAAATTTTAATGTAAACTTCTACATACTAACGTAAAATGGGGTACAGTCGTCGACACATGTTTTTGGACAAAAATATTAAACTTTCTCTATTGACCGTACGTGCATCCATTACTGCCACACTATATTGAACTTTATCACATGAGGAATACAGGTCAATTCCGTAAACGTTGTGGTACCGTCCTTGATCCGGAAAATGATTATTTTGAATAATTTTGTCAGTTGTAATGTAAGCATTAATAACAGCAACTTTATTTTTCATGCATGATTTACTTCATTTGATATCTTAATCCTTCAAGCGCCGTGATCTAGACAAAATATATAAAATCATTGTTCCTAGCTACCGGGGTCCCATGCGACGCGCGAAGGCTTAATCATATTATTATAAAGTATTATTAAAATAATGTGTAATTAATAATATTGCGATTCTAAAGTAAATACTCCCTTACATAGACAATTAATAATTTACACAAGACAAAAATTGTTAGAAAGAAAGTTAATAATATTGTATTCGACTGTACTCAATGTAATGTATGTAGAAGTTTACAATCAAATTTAATGGTTTTCTAGGTCAAAAGTCAAGCAAAAATTGGACTGATATTGGGCACTATTTCAAGCACAATTTTTTGAGACGTAAATTGTACCTATAGCTCGTTCGATATTCGCGCACTGAGGTGAGTATGCTGGGCGTAGAACCTACGCCCAGCATACTCACTGAACGAAGCCTATAACTCCGAAGTTATTCGAGCACTGTTTTTTCTTTTTGGGCACCGTTTGGCACTATTTGGGAACTATTTTTTGAAGTATGAATTATGTTTGAAGCGTATACAGATTCTCCGGACGGAGGTGAGTATGCTGGGCGAAACCTTCGTCCAGCATACTCATCGAATTATGGCTATAACTTCGCAAGTACAAGAGCACTATTTTTTTCCTTTGGGCACTATTTAGCACTATTTCAGAACAGTTTTTTGACATTCATGAAATATCAGGATTCCATGGTGAGTATGCTGGACGAAGGGACACTATCTTGGCCCCGTATAAAAATTTGTTTCGGGGCCCTTATGAAAGGTAAAAGAAGAGTTTTTTTTTACATAATATTATGTATATTTTTTACACATCTATATAACTCCCTCTGTCCAAATCATCGGACAATGATTACGTTAGTTTTTCCAAAGTTTCTGCCAACATTTGAACGCATGCATTTTGTGATTTTTGTGATTACTGAAATAAAATATAAATTGAAAAGTTTTTATAATTTTGCAAATAGGATATAATTGTCACGACAGATACGGCGCTAGCTACGCCCCTGGGCTTGTTTCTTAGTGTCTTCAATAAAGCACCTGGTTATGGAGAAGCGTCATCTACAGGGTTCATTTCCAATTCCAACATTATTTTACCGGGATTTCAGCTCGAAGCAGGAGCCGGCTCGACCGGAATGATACCACGGCCTCACAGAAAACCGACGTGAAACAACATTTGCGTTGTCTTTCGTCGTATGAGTGAGGTTACCGGAGGGCCAATTACCAATCTCCCCAACCCCCAAATCCGCAACAATCTTCAAATTCCTAATGTCGAAAAGGCCGGTAACGCACTTGTAACACCTCTGGTGTTTCGGGCATCCATGGGCGACGCCGATTGCTTACCATCTGGTGATCTGTCTGCTCATTTACCGGCTTATTCCGTAAAAAAAGAACATTCGGCATTTTGTACTTACGATAGTAGCATGTGTGTAGGTCGAAATGTTGCTCAAAATTAGCATAGTTCATTTCGGGTAAATAGTCTAAGTTTCGGGTAGGTTTGCGAAGCGACAGGCGTTCGATTTTTGAATTATTTTAAGCAAGTCAATAGGACTCCTTTCAGCATAGATACTATTTTAGTCGCGTCACAAAAGAGATAACTGACAAGGAAGATCCCCTTGTAACTTACGACCTCTCGAACAAATTCGTCGAAACTCGAGACGAGCGATCTCACAATAAGATTAAATCAACAAATTCTATGACACACTCGGTTCAAAGAACTTTGACATTTCTAAAGCTTGTGAGTCGGTAGGTCTCGAGCAGTTCGGTCCACTAGGTTAATTGGTAAATCTATTTTTCTGTCTGTCTGTATGGTGCAAATAATCTGTCTCTTATTTAATTGAACAGCACTAAAATTACATAATTAAAAAAATACATGTCTGATATTTTTTCATTACCTAACTGACGGACTAATTAGATTTTTAATTTTCATACCCTGTCATCATCCCTATTTTGATTGGACATATGTTAAATTTGTTTATTTGTCAGTCTAGTGAGCACAGCCACGGAGAACTTAACAGGTTGCTGAAATCCAGCTCGACGTGCAGTAGTAGGAACGGGGTGATTTTTAATCAGTAAGAATCTGACACTCCCTCTCGCCGCACTCGGGCGGGAGAAGTTATTTGATGATTTTCCACCCTCAAAAAGTCTAGTGACCACACAGCACGAGAGCGACTGACTGGCTGGACAAGACCCGTTGTGTTCAACATTCAGGCTGTACACTAAGTCGCCCTACCAAATAAAGGAGATCTAAATAACAAGTAAGTATTTAATAACCTACCTTACTTAACCTACATACGTATAAGTAGGTAGGTTAACACCATTATATAACGCTGTCTGTCCCCTGCAAACATACGTCGTGAAGTTTTAATACCTACTTTTAATGATAATACTATCGGTCACGGTTCCCATTAAACCTTCAAATGATATTAAAATGACCGGCAAGGACACACATCAATGTCTTACATCGAAATTAAATGAAATAGGTACTGCTTACGTAAAGTTACGTCGTTACGTTAGCACTCTAATAATAAAACGCACGTGATTTTTAAATAAATGAGTTTTGTGTACTTAGGTACTCGTCCCGCCATTTTGTGACGTCAAAAGTGGCGCCAATTACCTACAGACCTAATTTACATTAGCACATAATTACAGACTATAGAAAAGTGCTCAAAATAAATTAACGGACTCTTTTTGATTTTTAACATTATTTTGGTTCAAATATTATTTTAAATACACCGGAAATGTTTACTTACGTATTACAAAATCTACAAGAGCATAGGACACTACACCGATTGAAAATGAACAGTATTGACGCAACGCAACCAAAGAAAAAAATAGACAACCAAAATTTCTTATACAAGTGACAAAAATTGGAACTAAAAATTCCATACAAAAATTCAATAGAAACATTTTCCAACAAAGAAACTAGCGCCACTTTGAACTAAAATGTTAAGTTTGTACTAATTTGGCGCTATTTTCTCTTATGAGCTGTCAAAAACTGTACATTTCGTTTTGAAGTAGGTAGTTCCTAATTCCTATATTTACAGCTGAAGACACCGGCCGGTGTATATTTGGCCGTACTGTAGATTAAATTAGATCGGCATGGCATGTAGTACGGAGATTCCATAATAGCCGGATGGAAAGGTCAAGGCCATAAATAAATAATTTCACGTGTTTTGTTTAAACAAGAGTTGGGCTTAAAGTTGAGTCATTGTTTGATAATCTTTTTAGATGTCGAGACAAGTTACTTTAGTTACAGATTACGTATTATCGCACCTTTAAGGTAAAACTGTTCGGGTCATGATGCGGAGCGAGGGGGACTGGGATGCCGTCTCCTTTTGCGAAGCAGTCATGCTAGCTAATGAGGAGGCGGGACGCGTAAGGCAGCGAAGCGCTGCATCCTCGCAACCCAGCCATCGCGAAGAACACTCCGGGCGTCAGGGATCGTGGGACGATTTCCGGCCACCGTAAGCGAGGGCCTGCGGACGGCGAGCATGGGTGGCTCGCCGCCTGACCAGAACCAGACCCGAGCGTACGGCGCGTCGTGTTCCGCGCGCGCCTCAAAGAGCCATCAGACCACCACGGATGGAGCCCAATAGGGCCGATGCCGATACGGAGCCGCGGAGAACCAAACGGGTTACTGGGGCTCCGGCTCGAAGTGCAGGATTAGGAACGGGGTGGTTTTTAGTCAGTAAAAGTTTAACACTCCCTCCCGCCTCACCCAGGCGAGAGAAGCCATTCGTTGATATTACCCCCTTAAAAAATACGTAAAACAAACGAAAATGTGTGTACGTTTGTTACTCAATTACGTCAAAACGGCTGTAGGGATCGAAATGAAATTTGTAACAGGGACAGCTTATGGTCTGGAATAACACAGGATATTTTTTATCCTGAT